TTGTTGTTCCAGTGCTGTCTCACCTACAGTTTCCCATCACTTTACTGAAGATGAGCTCTCATCACTTACTGCACTATCATCTCTTTCCACCAGGTGGCTACATTTGCATGACTACCAGAAGTAACCAGGACAATCTGGAGTACAAAGGCTTTCTTGACTCTGAGCTCAGGCAGATGGAGAACGAGGGGCTTTGGACTTGTGTGGAGGTCACAGAGGTGGAAAACTGGGAGAGAGCTGTGTCGGAGCACGAGGATGGCTACATATCTGGCGCTGTATATCTCTACAAGAAACTATAATTATACATATATCACAAAAGTGTATGGTGGTTTAAAATCACACCAGCAAAGGTGCAAAATAGACTTATTAGAGAAGAAACAAAAACTGGATAAAATTGACGTAAGATTAAAAAGGAAGGCTTGATTTTTGCATTTGCAGAATTAAGTAGGCTCAAAGATGGAAAGCTGCTTTCAACCAAATGAGTATCTTGCAACTGAGTAACAGATTTTTCCTTATTGAAAGTAAATGAACCATTTTCTAAATAAGTGGTTGTATAACTTGCGTCTGTAACTGTGTCTCTTGTGCATTAATATCTGCCATCCACTAATAAGTGAGTTTATGAGGTTACATTTTCTAATTCAGTGATTCAGTTGGCTCAGATGCTAGGTTATCCCCTTTGTGCTTAAAACTTTATTAACTTTATTTGCTATTTGTTTTAAATTTTAAAACGAATCAAGTCGACGAGAAATTGGACAATTATGCTTCTGTACACCACCGCGGTGGATTTTATGTTAAGCAACCAAGATGAAGTGTAGATGTTTTACCAATGACCTGACCCTGTTTAACAATATTATATACAGCATCAGATACAGTTTTAGGTGACTGAAAGCCTAGTGATCAGTGTGCATTTCATATGGACGTCTTGAGGAGTGAATCTCTAAATTTTTGCTTGGGTCACTGGGCTGGATTTCTAAAATTTTATATTTTTGAAGACATACCCACTGTTCATATCCTTGTGAGACCCAGCCTATCCATCTGTTCCATTCCATTCATCCAGTAGTAGACACAAATCACAAAAAAAGTTAAACTAAACCTCTTTTTTCCTCCTTCCTTTTTTATCCTCCTCCTCTGGAGGATAAAACATGGATTCTTCAGACCTGATTCTTAGTCTAGAAAGCTAGAAAGACTTAATTTCATTCACCCAAGGACTAACAATATATTTAAATGTTCTTTTCAAATGTTACATTGTATTAGACTAAAGACAAACAAAAGAATGCAATAAAAATGTAAGTGTGAGCCTAGAGTGTATCAATTGTCTATAGAGCAAAAATTTAAAAAAAAAGACATGCAGGCATCCATCACACACAGAGAGAAGGGACAGGTAGAAGGTGGGGGGGGGGAGCCAGAGACGAAGAAAAGGACAACAGGTGGCAGTGTAAGCAAGCTCGAACCATACCGCATTTTGTGAAGGACAAAACAGCAATGTGTATGAAATGTTTAAAAAAAACCCCAAAAAAAACCAACGTTTAAAGTGTCACTCAGTATTGCTGCTGGTCCATTTATGCAGAAAATTTCACATCTTTGTCTCTGATATAGCAGTGCTGCTCTGCATGCACTATCTGCGTGCACTATCCATCTGCAGGCTCTGGCTGGATGACTGCTTATCAGTCACCCATTTTGTTATTGGTCATATTTCTCTCTGGGTTTATCGCAGTGCATTATGAGCTGAAGAGATCTTTGGAATAAAAAGCAAATAACATATAAGTCATTTGCTACCTTTTGCCCTAATAGTAAGTCCTAATTTGCTCTTTCTCTTGGATGTGTGGATGTTTAATTGTTCGACAATGTCAAGGCTGTGAAATTGTCTGCTGGCTGTCAGGTATGCATGATGCAAAGTTGATTTAAGGTCAGTTTACATATGTAGATTATCTTGTTTTCAATCACACTTTCCTTCACCTCTGCAGAATTTTGTGATGTGGTTAAGATTTCTTGAGCTCCTAGTTTTAGTCACATTGCTGTCATGAGAAAGCTGTGCAATGTCAACAGACCTGGTAAAATCCAGTTTAGCCACTTTTTTTTGTTTTTTGTTTTTTGTTTTAATCATACTGAATTTTCAGCACTTTCATGCAAATGTTGCTTGAGGGAAAATCTGTAATACAAAATATGATCACTCCTAATCATGTTTCCTGCTTTCTGCAGAAAAAGGTTACCAGGTTACCTTCTGTTACCACCAGATAGATACATTTGCATGGCCTACTGAAATCACCATGACAATCGTCAATGCAAAACCATGTGAGCTGAAGCTGAGGAGTAAGAAGAGCTCTGGGAAGGCAAGAGGATGGGTGCTTATCTGGTGATGTGTAGAGTGTAGATTATACAAGTGAAGTCATATCAGGTCTTAAAACATGCTTTAAGACATGCTTGCAACAGGCATAACCTTAGAGAAAGCTTTTGTACATGACACAACATGACAGATGCATATTTCTATTTAAGGAACTGCATTTTGGGCAGCTCAAAATATCACTAAGTAATTAAAACAACATGCATGATCACATGATACGAGCATGATTCACTGAAACTAAATGTTGAATCCTCAACAAACACACAATGCTTCCTCTTTTAACACTGCACACCTGCCTGTAACTTTACTTTCTGCCAAACCAGTTTGTCCTGTGGCTTTTAATTGCCAGGAACAGGACTGATAGTCCAGGGGGATTCTAAAAGGCCCTGTTCCACCTCGTGCCTCACATTATGTAAAAATTAGCTGGATACTTTTCAGATCAGCTCACAGTCATTTATTGAACAGCAAATGCAAAAGTATCAGTCAACATAGTGCAATGACATTTCACTGTGCCAAATGGCATGATCATTAAAATAACAAAATAACAAAACTTTGTATTTTCAATAATTGAATTTCTTCATAGAGATATTCACCAAAGAGCGCATTCAATAATGTAATGCTTTCAATTAATGTATAATATATAATGTGTATGTGTCTAATAAAATATGTGTCTACTCGAAGGTAAAACCCTGCTGCCCATTTTAAACGAGAACTTTAAAAGTCTGAGGTAAACACCAAAAAAAAAAAAAAAATATATATATATATATATCTGGTAGCAAATTAATGTTTCACATTTACAGTAACAGAGTTTAAATAGGAATTTGTTAGAAGTTAATTTGTCGCATTCTTCACACATTTCTTTGGCATGTTGATAAATGTACTCCTGAACTTTTCTATCTCATCCTTTAAAAAGGAAGCATCATGGAGTATATTTATACCCAAATAAAGTCAGTACACACTCACAAACAAAGAAAAGGCAACTTATAAATAGCAGTATAGTAAACTGTCTTTTGTGCCAACATAAGTACACATATTTAATTATATGTAATTATATTATAAGTATGTCTTTGGTGGGTTTGAGGATAAATCTTCCCCGTCACTCTTAACTGATAAGGTGTCCATTTCTGCTTCTTTCAGCTGAGACTTTGTAGATGGTACATCACTGTGTTTCGATTTTGTCGAGTCTGCCTTTTTCAGTTGTGACTTTGTTGAAGGTACCCATGATTTCTCTGACTCCTCTTTTGAGCCCTGCTCAGACATATACTGATAGGATGGAGGCCTTGGGTACTGCTGGGGCTTTGAAGTCACTCCCTCATAGCCATGAGGCCTGGGGTAGTCCACTCCAACAGGCAGTGACTTTGCTGATGGCGCCCTGCTGCGATGAGAACCCCCCAGGTTGGACCCGTTGTAGGAGCGAACCACCTGGTAACGCACAGACGTCCTCTTCTCTGTGTCATGGGCTTTTATGGGGCGTGCGGAGCTGATGAATAAACCGCCTCCCAGAACAAGCAAAACAGATGCTCCCCAGCCAATGTAAAGACAGGCACCAATCTCCCTCTTCTGAGCATCACTGTAGGCACTGTAGAAGTTCTTCACTAAAGCCCCAGCCACCCAAGATGTAGGAATCAAACAGAACAGACCTGCAGCCATCAACATTGCTCCTGCCACAACAGCCACCTTGCCCTTTGCCCCATTTCCAGTTTCATCCAAGAAGCGGGTGCACTTTCCTCCAACAAAGGCCATAATAAGTCCTGCTGCACCTACAGTGATTGAAATGACAGTGAGAGCTCTGGCAGCCTGCATGTCACCACTGAGGGCAAGGAGGGACTCGTAAGGTTTACACTGCATCTGACCTGTGCTTTGGACCACGCAGGCCATCCAAATACCCTCCCAGAAAATCTGGGAGGTGACGATGGAGGTGCCCACAAAGGACGAGACCCTCCACATTGGCAGTAAGCAGATGACGATGACCCCTGCCCAACCGAGGAGGCAGAGGCCACTAGCAAACATCTGCATCCCCATCGAGGCCATAATGTAGGTCTGGAGAAAAAAAAATCTTTTTTGTAAAATCCTTGCAGAGTTTTAAAAGGTGACTTGCTGCGTTTCTTGATTTCTGCTGAGTCTCTTTTGCATTTGCTTGTCTTCTCCTCTGGTTGCTCTTCTCTTGTATCTTTCTGTGAGTGTTTCTTTGTCAGTCCTTCTCAACATGTGCGTACTGTGCGTACTTTTTCTTGCTACTGTTGCAGTGTTGTAAACTATGTATGTCAGGAGAGCCTAGTCTGTTGCAGTTGTTGTCCTGCTTACAGTTTTTTGCTACTGGGATCGAGGCGTGTCTTACTTAAGCCTCACTTCATTTGTTTACAGCATATGTCCCTCCCCTTTTGTACCATGCCTTTCTGCCTCTTCCTTCTTTACTTTTTACTTAAGCACCTGAGAGCATTCGTTCTTTTTTGTCACCTGAGCAGACGCCTATGTGGTACTGGACAGGTGTAGACAGTGCCACACCTACTCTGTAGAAAATAAAGGACTGGAAGTTGACAGAGAGAGAGAAAGAGAGAGAGAGAAAGAAAATGAATAGGCAATGACATCACCCTCGCTCATTATCTTTGCCTCATGAGAACATTTTGCAAACAACAGCTATGAAGTAGGCAGAAGAGACAGGTATAAACCAACGCCTACCAATGGTCTGTTCTGATGTTAATCTGTCACATACAATACCTCTGCGAAAATGCTGCATTTGATTACCAGGTGATTTAATTTGATTAAGAACTTAATACATGTGTTAGGTCAGAGGCCTCTTCACGCAGCTAATGTATTTGAATAATGTGCGCATGCAGAGTATGTGAAACAGAAGGAGGGTGGAAAGTTTCCTGGGAGAGGACAGGACAGAAGTTTCACTTGAATAGCACACAGTGCAGAAAAACCTGTTCGAAATATGCAAAACCCCCGTACCACACAAGAGAACACACACTTATGTAAACTTGTGTGGCAGAAAATGAAACCTTTTTATCAAGCTCGAAATCATTTTTAATCTCTATGACTTATAAAGGTTAGACTTTACAGGGGCTATAAATTATTTTCGGAATAAATTTTATGGTTAAGCCTGATACAACACAGTGCATTTAATTTGAAATCTTTTTAAGGTTTACCTATTTGAACAGAGATATTTTGTGTAGATAAGCTCATGTATTGTAATTTGTACCACTGTGAATGACTTTTTCCCCCTTGTTTCCTCAGAAACAGAAACTATGCACGGTTTTAATGATTAAGCTGATTCAGGAAAACACATTTGAACATTCTTTGAGTCTAACTGTCCTGGCCTTGCCAGTCCCCTA